TGACCGGAAAGCTGCTTAAAATCGAGTTTGACGTATGTTTCGTCATCGATCAAAGTTCAGCCCTTGTGCCCTTTTTGGCCACGTACAACAGCCTTGCGCCCTTTTTGGCCACGGAATTCTACTTCATGTGCCGGTTCGGATGTTTACAGGCTTTGTACGACTTGTATCCTTCCCTGGCGATGATGTTCCGCATCGTTTGAAAGTTGGCGTTATACCTTCTGGTCAGATCTCGGATCGAAAGACCGGGGTTGACTTTAACGCACCTCAACACCTTGCTGCGCAGCTGACGATCCCTGGGTCCTGTTTTTCCGTAGGTCCGCTGATTCCTTTCCACACTCAGGATTTCCTTGTAGGTTTTGAGCACTCGACAAACTGTTGTTTTCGGCATCTTCAGCACTTTAACCACCATGGAACCGGACCACTCCGGATTTTCCAGGTATTTGTGCACAATATTTTTTCTTCTTTCGAGTTTCATTTGACGTTATTTCCGAACGCGATCGACTACTTTGATCAAACTTGCACCAGTTGTTCTCTATAGAAGTGTAAACAAACCACTGTCACAGATTTTCGATTGCCCGCCCAACACTAGAGGCGTGCTAGCGGCGCACGAGGGGCGTACCAATTTACTTTTAGTCAGCTTCCGTAGAATTTTGAAACATGATTTTTGGAAAAATCAGCGGAAATTGTTTCCAAGGATGGCATTTTCACAAACCGCTCCGAAGACAGAAATCCTGTGGCACCCTATTTTTTTTTCGTCTTTAAAATTATGTTTTAAAATGTTCATAGTTTTACAAAATGTCAAGCTTTAATAGTTTGTGTTGTTCTGGCCATCTTTTTGCTGCTGACATATTGTGACTCGTAAAGTCCGTAAGTGCCCGTTCTGAGTTTTGGAAATTTTAAAAGTAAAGGGTGGAACGGTTAAAAATTGGTCGACTCAAATTTGGCGATTTTTTTTAATCGTGCATTTAAAAAAAAACTTGAACACCCCTCATTTTGTAGGTCTGTGCGTACGGAATGTTGCCTCCAGCGTTGCCAGATATACCGATTTATCGGTATTTATACCGATTTCCAAACTAGATACCGATATACAGATAAGGTTCCTCAGAGTACCGATTTTTGCGATTTTATATCGATTTATACCGATTTTTTTAATAATTAAAATTAGTATTGCCTGCCCGCACACGAATTTTGGAGAATTTTTATTTTTAGAGACTTGTATCTTTTTGAATACCTCATATTTTTGAGCCTTCAAAATTCTAAACAATCATCTCTACAGATGCTTTATGTTTGATACTCTTTCGACTAATGTTTGCATTTCCTCACCGTTTTTGGCTACCCATCGAGAAATAGTCGATGGCTCTTTCCTGTCATTCCTAGGGAATCGAGAAATATTTTTCAAACATTATTTAACTTCCGGAAGCTTTTATTCGTGTTTAAACTTCCTTAAGTTTCATCCAACATTCCTTCGAATTTTCTACCACCTTACCTTGGAAGCTTCTTCAGCCTTCACTCGAATGATTCTTTCATCTCCCACCAGTTTTTTAAACTTTCACGGAACTTCAATGATGCTATCAGATTTTTATTGCGGATCCACACTAGCTGCAGGCACATTTAAAAAGTTCTGAAACTTCAGAAAAGTCCCGAATTTTGTGTAAGTTTCGATAAATTATAGACAGTTTCATTAACTTCTGTTAAACTTCGAAAACCCGGAAATTTCAGAAAAGTCCAGCGAACTCCAGTGAACTTAATGAAACATCATAAATATTTTAGAAACTTCACAAGTCCAAAGAACTTCAGGGAAATTTAATGGTTTTCAGGAACTTTAGTGAAGCTCAGAGAACACCAGGACATATAAATTAATTTCAATTAAATTGCCGAAATTATGAAGGAGTTCCGAGAAACTCAGGCAATTTCCTGAGGAGCTCATGCAAATTTAGGAAACGTAAGGAAAATTACGTGAACATCAGAACATTATGAGCACATTTTATGCTTTTTAATGGCAGTGTCGATAACTTTTAAATAAACAACATCGGGAAGATCAGAGAACTTCAATGCTGATGTTACAATAAATTCAAGAAAATTGTAAGAGCACTTAAGAGATTTCGTAATGTTCAAGAAAGTCCAGAGACCTTCAAAGAGGATTAGAGATATTCCGGTAGTCTCATTATAATCAGGGGAATTCCGTGCGCTTCGAAGATGACCAGAGAACTCCAAAACAGTCCCTTACTTTTTAGGAATTTCGAGGAATTATGCAATATTCCTAAGTGCATTTCAGGAATGTTCCGAAAACTTCGGGGAAATTGCGGAGTCTTCGTTCTGGCTTCCGACTTTCTTCAGATGTTTCTTCCAATCTACCTTAGGATGTTTCTGCCAGCGTCTCCAGGAAGTTGCATTCGTCTTCTCTAGGAAGTTAAATTAAGTCTCCCAGAATTTTCTTTCGTCTTCTTTTGTAATTTTGACCATAAGCTTTTCTAGAACTTCATCCAGGAGAGTTTCTTTCATCATAGTTCAAAATCTTCCCGACATTCCGGCCATCGGTTGTGGCCTTTTTCAAGGGAAAATATTTTTTGTCGTTATTGTCAAAAGTTTAGTCGTTGTTGTGGCTGATTTTTCCATATTTTGGTTTCATTTAATGATATTTAATTGGAAAAACTACTTTCTCACAATTTTGATCACCACTTGAGGACAACGATAGCTTTAAAAATTAAATTATAAAAAATAAAGAGTGTTTTAAAAATTAGAAAGGCGTTAAACAAAGCTATTCCCCTCAAGTCCCAGTCATCACCATTGTTAAAGTTTTCGCTTCCAAAAACGGCAAAAATATAAAATTAATAAAATAGTTAATACAGATAAGTACCGATTTTTTAATACCTTTGATACCGATAAGCTAATCTGGCAACGCTGGTTGCCTCTATTCTGTTTTTGCCATTTTCCTTTCAGTTGGCAAAATGGCGTCGAAACAAGGGGTACAGCGTATCAAAGTTTTGCTCGCGGTTAAGCGAAATCCAAATTATTCCCACGCAGATTGATTGTTGAAAAATATTGGGCAATCGTTAAAACTCAGAAAACTCAGAAAACAGTTGAAAATGAGAAACATTTCAAAGCAAATTGACGTTCAGCATCAAAAAAGGTACAAAATCTGATGGAAGGTGTGAAACATAAACAGTTAGCATTTGGAAAATCGGAAGCCTAATCAAATGATGTTCCTGTATTTGGTAGTAATTAAACGTCATTGCCACGGAGAATACTCCGTTTATTTCATTAATTTCTATTAAGCGAACAAAATGGAGACGCATCCACGTTGAGCCTTCACCAGTCTCGAACTATAATCAAAATTGTTGAAATCTTTTCCAAATTTCTCTGTATTGCTACCGATGATTAAATTTCTCATGAAATCTTCCATGCAATGTAAAATGACGGGAATACCGCAGGCAATTATTTGGTCTGCGTTCTTCTACATGATATTAGGTAGGTAGGGTTAATGTCGCTATTGTCGGCCTAAAATTGGGCCCATAAATAAATTTCGAAAGAAAGCATTTATCTAAGCAAATATCTATTTGGATTGTCCAGATGACGCATCATTCTCAATTTGAGCAGGAGATTTGTATCGCTGAGTCCAATATTTAGATCCATAAGTCAACATTAGAGCCACGTCTCCAGATGAGTTCAGAATATATTGTGCTTCATTCCCACCAAAACCGTGCAATATAAAGCGTCAAGCAGTCAGTGTTAACCTGGTTGGAGAACGATGGGGACGTAAATTTGATAAAATATGAATTTCACTCCCCTCTTTTCGGTAGGCATGATTTCCTATGTGAAAGCTATTAACCCAACCAACGGGGAAAAGAAAGAAACTCATACTCCCGTTCAACGCCTGGTACGGTACCCATAGCTACCGGCACCGGTGGGTGATCCATCTCCGGTAGAGGATTCGCGTTTACGTACGGAGCGAAAATTGATGGTGGGTGGAGGAGCGATTCACATTGTTTCCGTGCAAACTGTAATATGTTACCGGGGATCACAGCGTTTAACCCTCCATTTAACAATCAATTGGCGTTTGCTTCACAGCCTCGTAAAAATCACACTCAGATTCGGTTGCTATCGTTTGCGGTATTTTAATCAAAACCCGAGTTGACTGTCATTGAAGCTGGAGAAATCAATTTCGTGGTATTTTTGCTCGGGTCATCATTTGATCTCTTCTTCTACAACTAAGTACTAAACTACCCGGAAGCAGCAGCACACGCAAGCATACTGGGCAGAAATCCTTCCGTAGATTTGGGATTATCTGCAATGAGCCGGATGTAATTCGATTCATGTTTCCCTTTATGGTTTTTCCGCATTTTGCGCTGCGAGCAAGATTGAAGGAAGGAAATTGAGTTTAGGAAACGTTTTTCTTCTATATGTTTGTACATTATCTACCGCACAATGGATGAAAGAGTTTCAATTTGCGGGAGCAAATGTGGCTTGCTGGGATTTTATTCTGCACCGCGAGTGAGATGAGGTGACTCGCTGTCACTAGTGAGGTGACAAAAGTCACCGCAAGTGAGGGGACTCCCCTTGCAATTCAAATGGAGAATCACCTCACCTCACTCGTGGCCAGAATAGACTTCATTATTGTAAGAATATCTCTTTTTTCTTAGTGCAGCCCCCAAACTTCATAATCTAATAGGGAAGTAATGTCATTTAAAAACAAATTTCACAACGAAAACAAACGGAAAGGGGTGATTTATAGCATGCATGTTTAGTACCCGCTTCTAGTTTAGTGATAACCATTGTATATTCGTTTGTCAGTGAAACAGTAGTTGATGTTTATTTGTAATCTTCAATCTTAATACAAATCTGTAAAAAGCAACAAGCAAAAACAACATTTTTTTCTCTTTCTTCTTCTCTTCTACCCACCCCCCACCCTGCATCCACACCGGACACACACACACCCCTCCAACCCAAAATCACGAAAATCCAAATAAACAAAAATCAAAATTCATCTCACCAATCACAAGATCCATCTGTCGCAGGAACGTTAGCCGACCTGAAGAAGCACCGTTCGCAGAACCGGTCCAGCGTCAGTCCGGACAACGGGTCCCTGCTGAGCGCCCAGAGTTTGGGCAGCCTGACGACCGGCGCCAACGGGCAACCCCTGGAGCTGTCACTGGTCTCTGGAACAGCGGCGACGGCGGCGGCGGATCATCTCCATTCGTATCCGCATGGCAACGGAAACGGAAGTCTCGTGGGAGGAGGTGGCGGCGGTGATAAATCGGGAATTTCCACGCTGAGCAGTGCAACTGGCAACGGGTCCCTGGTGATGGCTGCCGGAGGCGACGGAACGCCCAGTGGGACGCTGAACAAGTTCAGTGGCAATACCAGTGACGTCGTCAGTGATAGCACCCGCTCCCGGCGGTGCTGTGTGGTAATGTAAACAAACAATAGAGGCCGACATGCGAAATGAAAGGTAAGCCATTCTGCCAATTCATATCAAAATCAATGCGCAGGCCTATACATTGTGGATGCGGTCAAACGAGAGCAATACAGGAGGGAGTGGAAAGCGGAAGAGTGTTTAGAGGGAAGAGTTTAGATATAGTTTCGTGCCCCCCTCTTAGAGGGAGGGAGGGACACCAGCAGCTGAAAAGCAACTGAAAGTTGTGATATATACGATTTGTGTTTACACATATTCAATTTTTTTTTTTCGTAGGTTAGGTTCGAATCTTTTCGCGTTTCCTTGCTTCCTCCCTGTGGTCCCGTAGTTGCAAATTGTGGATGTATATATATTTGTATATTTGTTATTGTGTATTCTATTGTACATGAATTGATTTGCCTTCCTCTTTCGCCGTCTTCCCGGAAGGCCGATGGAAACGCGTGAATGATTTTCTGTTAGGAGAGTATTTTAATTTTGTTTCGAGAAACAAAACAACCCATCAAGAAAGTCCGTAGAAACAGAACGCAGTATTCAGAATAGTACTTAACACAGATCCGATATACTCTCGGTATTAGTCTTTATTTCATGGCCTTACTTACTTACTTACCTACTTATACATGTGCAGCTTGTCAAAACTGAAACAAAAATAGCATGCGAATAGCAATAACAACAAACTAAGATGTCAATCGTGGTCAAAGTTTAGCTCCAATTTTGTCGTAATAGATTATGATCCCTTTTGGGAAATCCTTGCCTGCTTCAAGAGGTTATGTTTCCGAATGTTAAAGGCTGATAAAAGTGGTCGTCTTCACTTCTGTAGCGTTCGATGATCAGCTTGTCCAATTATCCCACCTTCCATCACAACTTCCTGACGGTCAGCTCCAACGCTGCATATTTCCGAACAACTTGTATGATCCAAAGATTTAACTTCTCTGCTGCAGGCCTATAGCCAAGCTTCCTGAATTCAAGAATAGCTATTTAATTCCACTGCCGGAACTTCCATGCCCCGGACAAAAGAGCTTTACTCGAAACGCGCAAAAACACTGAAAAAAAGAAACGTCAAGCATAATCAGGCAGCAAGCATCATAGAACAGTAGGCTAGGCGATTGTGTAAATATTATGTTTTGATGTAAAATTCACATTAAATACAACCTACTCAATTACCGCACTTACACTTGAAAACAAAACAAATGCAATGAAAAGTAAAACATCACACGTGGTTCAATTAATCAAACCTTGCAGAAGAAGAAGAAAAAACTATATTTACATAACTGCTCCATCAACAGGCGATGAAAACGATTAGCAAAGCTATATAGAAAACGGTAGAGATTCCGAGCTAACAGTTTCCAAAACGGCACACGTACCGTGATTATCACAAGTAATTAAAGTTTTTTTTTACTGTGCACTCTTCTCTAGGTTAGTAAGAGAAGTCATGAAAAGAATAGAGAAAAAAAAACACAACAAATCGTTTTCCTACAATGAACCAATGATTTAGTCCATCTACACAACAGTTGTTATGCTTATTGGAAAAATTGAGCTGTTTTTGATTTGAACCCACAGCAACAGCAAAAGATTATTATTATGGTTATTATTATAGTTATTGTATTACCCACGAGTCGACGAGTCCTTTTCTTTTTATTTTTTTAAATTTTCGTTGCAATTTCTCACGACAATTTTTAGTCAAACACAAAATAGAACACACAAACACACCCACAGATACCCAACAGTAAAACAAGCGATCAGATCAAAGCAGAATCGTTATCAGAGGAAATGTCCGAAAGATGAGAGAATATATTTCATTCGATTTATTGAAAAATTTAGAATTTCAGCCTGCAATTTAGTTGTGCTAAGACAGTCCGAACCTCCCGGGAACCTTTCGAATGTCCGCTATATGAGCGCTCATACTAGGCCAAAAAACGTTGTCCCTGGGCAAAGTTCAACGATGACTCGATATCATTATGACTAACATGCACTTTCAAGGTGTCGATTCAATGAAGTTAACCAAATTCCCTGATATTCCCGGATTTTCCAGTAGATTAGTATAGTTTTTGGCAACACTCGTCAGCTAATGCTTTATTTAGATATGCACATGAACCTCTAACAAAAGACAAAAATTACGTGCTGCCAAAAACGAAAAGGCAGCGCATTGTTTTCTAAATTCACAAATGATAAACGTATTAAGCACCAGGTAATAATTTCAAGCAGTAACCGGGATGTTACTATGATTGACAGCGATGTGTGAAGAAAACTGCAACCATCTCAATCTACAACAAAGGCTTGCTTATGTCGTTTTCGTTTTTTGCGGTTCTGTACTGCCGTATACCGAAATAATTTAGGGTGTAGATATAGGATGCACCTTTGTTTACAAACAAATGATGTTGAGTGGTCAAAGACTCGCGCTTATTCCTGCTTACACTACACTGGTGCTACACCGCAAAAACTAAAATGACATTAAGCGCATTACGTTTTCAGCAAGTTCCATCCTTGGCATAGAAATTATTTCACCTTTTCTAACTGTTTCCGCATCCCACGCTAAGGACCAGAGATGCCAGATTTACAGGTATTTTTTTTTTTGTTACAGACATTTACACACTTTTTAGTTTTTTTTTTTCACAGATGTTTACAGACTTTTGTAATCAAGGGCACATTTTAAAATTGATTTGGTTACACTATTTACATCTTTAATCAAATTACACGGGTGATGCATTTTGCAACAAGCATTAGTAATTCGCTCGTTTTCGATCGAGACGATGTTATATAAGAGACGCGCGGAGATAATAAAACTAAATCTGGTTGCACGGCCAACTAATTTATTTGTCTGCAAGGTTTGTCAACCCGCAATTTTGTGTTTACTTCAAGTGAGTTTAAATTTGAGCGACTGTCGTCTGCTTCAGCATCACGGTCAAATGAATACTTTTTTAACCGTATCGGTAGTATCGCTATTTGAAGACTCAATTTTTGACAACTCTGAGTGAAACCAAATATACCACATTGGAGAGTTTATTCTACAGAGCATTGCACAAATTGTAGATTCCTATCATGTATGAGTGAAATCTCTCTTTTGAAGTCTTACACAAATTTTACTATCTTGAAAAATTACACCGATCTTTGTAACAGAGCCTATGTAGATGTATTTCGTTGTGCTCGAGCAAATATTTCGTGAGAACATAACGATAATATAGCTGGTGAATAACAATAATATTCCCTGTCCAATTTCACTTTTCGTACGCAAACTTAATTATAATTATTTAAATATCAACAGTTAATCAGCGTCTGGCTGAAAATCTCCTTAATAAAGACAGCCAACCTCAACAATTAAATTCAAACCCAATGTCAATACTTTCCACGCTTTTCTTCGTGAAGCGCTCGTGTTTATTTACATTTATTTATTTATTTGAAAGGAAAAGCCCACACTAATGGGCGCATAACCTCATCATTTCTGTATCAACAGATAACATAGAATCCTACAGATACATTAGCATGAACAAAACCCTAAATGTATAAAAAGACTTATTAATGATAACACAATTAACTTAATTTAAGTACAGAAAACAGAAACCGTCAGGAAGTTAAAAGTACATTATAAAAAAGATTCTTAAGCCTAACACGGGAGATATTAAAATCAAAGCAATTATAACATTTGCACATGCTAGTTAACGGCTCATTAGCGCCGTAGTTTGTGCGAGAAGCCGGGATGTTGAAAAAATAATAAGAACGTAAATTTACGCGTCGGATATAGACATTCCACTGCTGCAGAAGTGAACCGCAATTAATGTCCGACCGTAGGAGATCAGCCATAAAGGTAGTATTAGAGACGCCTCGGCGAACACTAAGTTATTGTATGGACATCAAATTACAGCGGCGAAATTGGCGCAAATAAAAATGCAACCAAGTTGAGAAGACGCCTTAGCGGAAACATAAGCGACATGGTCCTTGAAGGTGAGTTGTGAATCAAGTAGAACGCCTAAGTTTTTAGTGGTAGATTCACGGCTTAATATTTGCTTCTGCAGGGTGTAAGCATAACAGATAGATGATTTTTCCTGGAAAACGTTATAATGGCACATTTAAAAGCATTTAATACCATCCTGTTCTTGTCACACCAAACAGTAAAAACGTCCAGCTGCTGCTGAAGAAACAATGCATCACTTCTATCTTTGATGACAAAGTATAGTTTGAAATCGTCAGCATAAGACAGCTTCAGGCAACGGATCGAAAACTGAACGTCATTCAGCTTCAATAAAAATATGAACGGTCCCAGATGACTGCCTTGAGGTACACCAGAAGAAACAGCGAACGGTTGAGAAAAACGATCTCCAATCTTCACTGACATATGTCGACCGGTGAGGTATGAAGCCAATCAAGAAGGGAACCATGAAAACCAAGTCGCTCTAGTTTGGCCACTGCAATCTCGTGATTGATTTTATCAAAAGCAGCAGAAAGATTGGTGTAGGTAGCATCCACTTAATGACCTCTTTCCATCTCGCGTATGATTGTATTGAACGCAAGGGGTAGGTCACTCCGCACACCAATCTTGAGTAATATTTTTTGTCAGTGTGCTGCTATTTTGCTGCAGGTGTACCAATTGTCCCGGTCATAGAGCAAGCTGCGATTGTTTCTAAAATACCCATGCCGGCAACCCGGTATTTCTGACACCTTGAATGTTTTGGTTTGAAATCGCGAGGATAAATCGGATTGAGAATGACGCGGGAAGTGGCGGGTATGCGGAATGTTGGTGTTTTGTGTTTTAGGGTTTTATAATGCTCTCAAAGGCAAACCAGAAACCTAGCATTTCGTGATGGGAAAAAGCAACGGTCTATGAGCGGCCGAAAAGAGTTGGAACCGGTGCGGAACATTGTTGGAGACTGACTATAGAGGATGATGAATATGACTTTAGTTTGTTTTGAGTTGCAGCATTATTTGAATTAAGGGTGCTAATGGGGTCTGATTAACTGCCTCTTTCTATTGCGGCCACTCTAGAACCACCATTCCGTATTTAGATCTATGAGTGAACCGAGAAATGAACTG